ACAAAAGAATATTACAGAAACATAGATAATTAGCTATATTGTCTATATTTTTTTCCTTTTATTTGTCTTGAGTTATAAAATTACAAACTATGTAATGTGTTCAACGACCCATGTATGAACAATAACTTTAATAAATATGATTTTACTTCGTACAATACTGTATATTTTTTGCATAAAAACGAAAGAATTTCACAATGTCGTAAACGGAAAGTCTTTATCGCAGTGTTTATGGCGAATGTCTGGTTTTGCCATTGGTAATTGAGCTATACTTAATTAACGCGGCAAAGCCTTCCCTGTGCACATTCGCCATTGGGGGACAATATAATTAAAATCGTTGTTGAGGTGTATGAAACCTAACCTCCCGACGGACTAGTCTATTAATCCGATGTCGTCCATATATTTACCGATGAATGACGCAGTTAATTCTGCGCCCAAAATGTACAATAATGTCAACACCTGTAATCAGACGAGTTGACACGTATTTTATCTCCAAAGAGTGAGAGTACGAGATACCTCGCAAAATCAGGAAACAATTTGCACTCGTTTGGTTCATGTGTTTGCATACGAAAGGCAGTGACCGTGCGCCTCGTAACCCGTCTTAGAAACAAGTCGAAAATTGACTTATATAGTCAGACAGATAAAAATCATGCGCATCAAAAAATTCTAATAGTGAAAATATAAATGATAAGCAACAAGTTTTAATACACTGTGATAACATCCTGTTGGGTGAAATCCGGAAACATTTTGTTGTCAAGGAAAGCTACATCGATTGAAATCTTCGAATGATTGCACTGCTACATTGGACACATCAAGGGTATTAAGAGTTATCCAGCGATAAAATCTTCGCATTGTGCATCGTTATCTGAAACTCGAGTTACAAAGTGTATGCTCCTCCTGGCAATTCATATTTCATTACACAATATTAAAATCATCGCATCATGTGATCGTTGTGTGATTCATGGGACGTAGTATTTAGAGATATTGGTAACCAACAATGGCCGTGAAGGGAACATGAATGCATTCAATATGCACTATAACTTTCGCGCAATTTCTGATCTGCACGCAGTCTCTAGTTGATAGGTCAATGACGTGTTCCCCACATACGGTAATGTACATAGGCGATTTCTTTATCTCAAGTGTTTATTTCACCTTGCCTAGCCCGACTATAACTGTACACAAATTTTCAATCATATTGTGTAGACGTAACGATAGCAACAACCTTGTTTACTGGCAAGCAATTGTATTTGCCTTCATGGGAAAAAAATATAACCCTACAAAATGCACTTGTATGTGATTTATTCAAGAACACACACGAATAACGCACATGTCGTTATCCGCTAAACACTCAAAAAATACATTTTATTTTGTATTCGGGCCTCTTAACTCAATCTGTTTTTTTTCATTACCCTCGACGTCACAGCCTCGCTCCCAAGGCGGGTCCTTACTTGGTCGTCCTCTGCTATGTGCTTCCGACTTTGAAGATCAAAGGGCGTCCCTCGTGTCTGTGCCAATGGCTCGTTAGTTAAAAAATCTTGTAACTCGGCGTCTTTAAATGTCATACAATGTACATTGTAATTCTATAGGTGTGTTCGCTTGTTTTCTTTGTTTTACTAAGTATGACATGATTAAGATGTTGTTATTAAAGCTAGTAATCTGCGTAGTTTGTGATATATTTCGTATGAAATGAATACATTTGTCCAGGAGAGGAATGTGGGCGACTTGTTCGCTTTTGTTATTTCAGCATTTCAATAGTACGTATCATTAATCCGAAGCGCATGCGCATCAAATTAATATTATTAGTGCGCAACCAAACATTAAAACGATACTATGAATTATCCTCATCTTTTTTTATTAAGCTGCGAATGTGTCATGTATTTCAATTTGTCTTCAAATTCACTGAGATATTCCCTATGCTCTGAGCGTTTTGATTTATGTTATAACGAGTCTGGGTGCGCCTTGAACCGCACTTATATGTTCCCGGTAACATGTAAATTTCATTGTGTTCGCCCAGACAGATTATGTCACTTTTCTTGCTTCCGTCGCTATTGTCATGCAAACATATTAAACAAATTGAGTTATAAATTATTTCTACCCAAAATTACTCGGATAAATTGTTATTACAAATTTTATGTTGCTGAATTTTGATGGAGACTTTTCATGGAGAGATTCTCGACGTTGATTGTGTTTGTTGAGTCGTTAATCTTGACGGTGAATGCTAACCTATGTGATATTCGAAAACAAGTTCTCACGGCTTTCTCACTCTCAACGAGATCTCACTCGATTCCATTGTAACCATAAAGCAATGTTAACATGCAAGACCGATTAAATCATGACACGGTCATAAAATTCTAAATAATCCTGACCCCCGTATTACATCAATGAACAATAAATTATATAAATCGAGTGATGCCCAGTAAAACAAATTGCCAGCAATAAAATTCCCTCAGCCCATATTATACCTTTTCCGATTAGAATGCTACATGCCGATTCTTGTATGTGTGCCACAATTAATCAAAAACACCGGCGTGGTCATCAAATCGGTAAATTTCAAGTAACGATCTGTCACCGACAGTTAATTTGCCATTAACGAGGCCCTGCTCCGTGACTATCGCTGTTGTTTAACTTTAACATTTCGACGGTACATACAATCCTGTTCGAATCATTTGTGTCTAATGGATCCGGATGAGGCAAACAAACGAAAAACAGTGGAGCGGCAGACATCGAAAAATTAAAACACACGTTTTATGATACTATTAAGATTTGGGGGACATGGAAACCGTATATAAAACAAAACTACACAGTCAGCTATATACGTTTGACTAAACTAGAATGATCATGAAACCGTATTCATGGCAATATTTAGTTACATAATCCAATATTTTTATAACATAAATAATCAAACCAATTTTGTAAAAGGATATAATAAATGTTTACATGTTTTTATTTGTTATATAAAACAATGTACCTATCACCGGGATAATACCACCCACCATGGTTGTCGGGTCTGTATAAAAAAACTGTCAGTCACCGAGGTAAGACAGAACTATCTAAAACACTTCGTGATGTGAATCGAAATTACTGCCACAAACGCAATGATTGAGGTAATACTAGTAACACGCATACTCTCCTGGGCTGTAACATATATTACAGAACCGACTACGTTGTTCTTGAATTTAACCCCGGGGGTTCAACAGAAAAAGTGGCTGACTAATACTAGTCCATAGGGATTACAACTCTTTCGAGTTTGACCGATTAACCTTACTTGAGGAGAAACGATGAAAACAAAACGTGCACTGATGCACGGGTAACATTGCACGTTCGTCTTTATTCGCTGCAGCCACGCAAATGAAAATAATTTGCACCGTCGATTATATGCAACGGTATACTGACTATTCTGTCAAAGAAGGTGACTCATCTACCGATACTCACGTAACTATTAAACTCCGAGATTATGCGTTTAGATTCAGTGACCTAATACACAAAACATATCGAACACTCATGATTCGCGGTGGACGATAACATTAAAACGACCGAATTTCTTGTTTACAGAATACATTTAGCACGCGTGGTACTAAACGTTGCATGGGTCTCATATTGAAAACGATAATTTAAGATTAAGACGGACAGTATGGTTTATAGATATTTCTGGTAACTAGCTAGGAAAGGCCATTTCAGTCAAACAAACGCGCCTGATACATTTAAGTTTTTGTGGAAATGCAATAAAAAAATCAAAATCCATGCCAGCTGGAGACAAGGAAACGAGTAGGTAGATAACACATTGTGCTGTTTTGTGACGTCACGGTTGACAATACAATAACACATGTGATGCTCATGTTATCACGACATGGGCGATTGTATTATCCTCCAAGGGATAGAGATTCTCAATTAAACGACCGTCCAGTGAGTGACATTTTAAACTATTGTTTAACATGAAAGCCAATAGACATACACACATAACCCTGCCCGAACCATTTGTATCCAATAGAAGAATCAGGCCAACCATACAAACTGAAAAAAGTGGGGACTGGCAGACTTGGAAAACTTAAAACACACGTTTTATAATACTATCGCAATTTGGGACCGGGAAACCGTATGTATACTGGAAACAACCGCACTGCTGTATATCTTGAATAAACTAAATGATCATTAGTTACATAATCCAATAAATCTTTATAATATAACTCATCGAACCGCTGTTAAGAAAACAACATTATTCCATGGGTATATGACCTACTGGTAGCAACAAGAGTTACTGATAAATGTCGTATAAGTTTGGAAAGCTTGTGTGTGTATTTTTGAAAAAAGTTTGCTTGACATTAAATACGGCGTCTCCAATATTTAGACCCTATTTGAGCATATATGCAAACAATCTTAAACAATCTTAATCCACAATGACTTACAATATGATTTGCACAGGACATAAATCTATCGTGATTCTCTGTTTACCACGTCACCAAAATAACTTACCGCCGCGCCAAAACCAGCTTACGTTTAAGAAATTTTACTAGCATAAATAGTCCAAAAATGAAAAAAAAAACTAATTAATAATTAACGACAACGTGTCGCGCACAGAGAACGTACTGCAGAGATCGCACCAATGATCGAAGTGCATGGCTTATTGACCAACTGGACTATTATTGCCCTAATCATTTCTCTGACTTAAAACACATTTACAACTTTACTGCTTCATACATACATCCACATAATCCAATCGTAAATTTAAGCCATTTTGGATTTAAGTTGATTAAATATTTTAGAAACTATAATGGAAATCAAACATGTAGACATATCCTTAAAATAAGAGTCAAAATATAGGTGGCCCTGAACTTTAACTGAATATGCCAGCCATCTAATAGGTATATTCTAAAAAGTGAATTGGTTCAGTAGTACAAATATCAACATAGATGTAAATTCATATATGGGCATTATCGCTAAGTTTACAATTCATAATATCAGGTGAACTTTGACCGATCGTCGGAATAACAAAAACCATGCCCAGCATGGGTTTGGAATCTATTTTCAGAACAGTCAGTCTCCGAGGTAAGGAAGACGCCCCGTTGTGTGAATCACCATTGCTGCAGTAATTGGGGTAACACTAATTATACGGGCAAACTGTTACAGCGCTTACAAATAACACAATAAAGCATGGGTGACACACGCGTTAAAGAATGTTGGATAATGACGTAACCTTTAGGAACAATAATTTTATTAGCAGACGATAGGTATGACACGTGAAACACGATTTAGCTAACAACGTGTGTTAAACGAATGAGAGCAATTATTTTGCATATATGTGATCACGACACGATCGTCAATATTGGAGTATTGTCTGTAATCTGTTAACAGGAAGTGCTGGGACTATGTGGTTACATTTGATTAAACTAAAGTTAAAATTCACGATGATTGGTCGGATGTTAAGTGAAAACTAAATGGATACGATTACTTTTATCGGAGCCCGATGATTTGAAGACCCCGGGTGCCGGTGATAGCAGCTGTATTGCTAACTGGTAATAAATACTCATGTGCTGGGCACAATTGCATCTTCTCATGAAAAGACGTAAACACACGAAGAAAAACTTTGGAAATTGAATAGATTTCAACGGATGTTACGAACTGAATAAAAAACACGTGCATACTTTGCAGTATCCTCGTAATAACCTTATTATTATACATCTTTTCCTTCCAAGGATACATCATGGAAATGCCGAAAACCAAAACGTTTGGAACAGATTTAGCGAACTTCTTTGTGTGGAGTCCGGTCAAACCCTTGGGCCAGTCATAATTATTTTTCATTACGCGCGTATTCGTGCCATATTTGGAGTTCGCGTTTCCTAATATGGCAGGATGAAACTATCTAGTACAATACCGCAAAATTACGGCACGCTGTAACATAATAATAATGTGTAATAATATGAGGTTATTACGATAATACCTCAAAGTATGCACGAAGACATTACAGCTGAGATCGACTGACGCGCAGCGGAGGTCGATGCGCGGCGTACTGTCTGAGTGCATACTTTGAGGTATTCTCGTAATAACCTTACTATTATACGTCTTTTCCGTTCAAGGATACATCTTTGGAACGCCGAAATCCAAAATCAGCGAACTTCTTTGTGTTGAGTCCGGTCAAACCCCGGTGTCAGCCATGTTTGTTTTTATTATTAGAGCACGCTTACACGCGTAATCATTCTATATTTGGAATTCGCATTTCCTAATATGGTAGGATGAAAATACTCCGTAAAATACTGCAAAATTACGGCATGCTGTAACGTATGGCGTTACAGTGACAAATGTATAATAATAGTAATTAATAAATTGATCATTTAATCAGTCTTTGTCGATTTCCTGTTGGTGTTACTCGCGTCGTTCCTGCCCAAAATGGTACTTTTTTAGTATGCACGGGAACAATGACTCGAAACATTAGAAAGTCGATTGACAAAGGTCACGTCATACTATAATTGCAACGCTCTTGTTATCTGGTTTCAATTATTTTCCCATGACGCAGCGGTGTGATATATATATATATATATATATATATATATATATATGTTGGACAATATTAGTAATTGCGGGTTACGAGCGAGACCGATTACATAACGTCAGATTATATGTCGGTTAAAATACCTCGTGAAACTTAAACCCTCGAGTAATCTGCATTAAAAATAAAGAAGTTTTGCCATTGTCTTCCCCTCAACCATCACAATTATTAAATATAAAAAAAAATAACGATCTCATCAGCAAAATGCATAACCTTTGCATGATAGCAGATTCGGACTATTTTTCTCCAGTGGCGTGTTTACGTAGTGGGCAAGACAACATATTTTAAATCAAAGTAATCTTTGTATAGTCGTATTTCATGAAAAAGGTCAAATTAATTTGCGTTCGCTTCAATTCCCCAACTGAAAGATACATCCGAATATTTGCTTTCCACCCACCGGTTTCTTGTTTCCCCTATTTTTTTAAGAACCAAACAAGGGGGCATTAGATGGTGTACTGCTTCAACAAGTAAGGTGGGTTACGTTCAGAGCTATTTTGCATTGAGTCCCTTAAATATGATTAAAGGGTCGGTCAATTTAAATCATGAGGGGGGAATTGTTTACGAAAAAAAGTAAATTGCAAGCTACACACCGAAAGAGAAAAACACTCTACCACCACCAGTGATTAAAGCGGGAGGGTTAAAGCGATAGGGTCGTCACCAAGCGACGCTAAAAACGCAAGGGCTCATGGGTAGACGCTTGTTTCTAAACAATGACACGCTACGGCCATCTGACGCATGCGCAGGTGACGACTCCCCCGCTTTAATTGGGAATAACATTAGCATAAATCGACGTACACAGGTCGTATAGAGAAATTCACTTGTCCGAGAACACAAAACAAATGACCAAATCATTAAAAAAAATCAAATATCTGGCGAGTACATTAAACAATATAAACAGCGCCACATTTTTGATTTTAGACTTCCTACAGACTAGCCTAACTATCACGTGACTATATGATATTTCCCCCAAGATTTCAGGCTTGCTACTGACTGACCTATCGCGTGACTATATTAGAATTTTCTATGATTTTAGGTCTGCTCCTGGTCAACCTGGCTATCAGCGATTTATTAGTCGGAGTGCTGGCAATGCCTTTCTCTCTCATATCACTGATTACTGGAAGATGGTTGCTAGGAAGTGCGCTGTGTGAAATCACTGGTTTCTTGGCTCTGCTGTTCAGTGTCTCATCTACGCTAACCGTAGCATGTATCTCCATTGACAGGTGGGTCGGAATGAACTGAATGATACACTGTTTCGTTCACATACGTATTTGCAACCGTAGCAGTAGTAACACAGGTAACAATGAAAAACACAAAACAACCAACAAAAACAAAGCAAAACAAAACAGAAACAACAATAACAATAACAACACCGGTGTGTTGCTTCAAAATTGAATTTTAATGTGCTAAAGAATAGGAAATCGACTTCCCTAATCTACAACCCCAAGACTAAACTGGACTATATGGCAATTCACATCTAGAATGAAAGCAGCGAGACAAAATTGTCACCCAGTTCAAGTTCATTTTATTTGTTGCCAAATTTCCGGCATAATATTCACATTTCATGTTCGATCTGGGTTCCATGCGACATACATGACAAAGGTCAAAGTTACAGCATGGTTTATGTATGTTAGTTAATTAACTACAGGGGAAATAGCTAGACCTTCAAACTTGGCACACTTGTTTTAACGATACTCACAAAACCTGGGTATTTTTCGGCAAACAGGTAATTTATATGAACGTTACAGTGTGTGTATGTTAAAGATTGAACTGCAAGAGAGGAATGACAAGGAACTTTGAACTTAGTGCACAAGTTTCTCGCCTTTATATTGTAAAACATCTTTACAGCGTGTAACGGAAAAACAAACAATGTTAATTAATCCTAATTTGATTTCAAAAGTAAACCAAATAACCACGATCAGTTATAATAACTAATACAAACCCATTATAGTTGTTTAAAAAACTTCTACTAGGATAGGGGAGAGGGTTATTCGTGATTGTCATTTTCATTTTTTTTTATTTTCTTAAGTATGTTAACGATATTCAGGACATTGATGTTTTCCATGACCTGTGAAATCATTTTCATTATTCTCTTCGAATCTAGAAAGTCTCGCTATATTTTTGCGTGAGTGTTGACAAATAAACACAGACCCGGGATCCGATTTATTTGTACAGCGATTGTGTATTATTTGATGGCTTGCATTCATTCTCAATCTTGATGAATAGCCATTCTATTTGAAACCGCCAATATCAGGTGTGACCCAAATGCTCGTAGCTGCCCATTATCAAGAACAACAGCTTTTGTCTTAAACATTTCAGGTTATTCAATGTTTAGGTTTTATACACTTTTCATACAATTTAGTATTTATATGTAAAGGTAGCAAGCAATATCTGGTTCACGTTATTTCTTTTCGAATTGCACTGTAATGTTTAAAGTAATTTAAAAAGGTCGGAGGTCGGTAAAATTCAGTATTGCTCTATATGGAGTCGTTCTTGCTGGTGGGCGGAATACAAAACTGAAATATGCAGCTGATATTGGTGAGTATGTTGAAGATAATGCCATGGAAGTATACATAACGTCAGTTATGTGCGTGATAATACCTGGTTTAACTCTATTGTATTGAAATACTAATTAATAATATACCTCTCAGGTTTCTGTAAGTTTATAGTTTTCGTATTGGTTACCAGAAATGAATGGATGTGTCGTAAGTTATTTTACATAGATGCAGTAAGTAACTCTGACAAAACTCATTTTGTTTCCAAGGACGATATTTTTTTTTTTAATAAACTAACTTATTGTTAACGGTATGATGCTGATACATATTAGCCATTTACTAGGTACGAAATTACCATGCAATCCTACATACGTATCAGACCAGTTGGTAAGTTACTTTCAACGTTAATATTGTTTGTAAAGTCAAGTAAAAAAGGGCAATTAGATAATTATTAATTTATTTAAGTTCAATGCGACACGCATGGCAATTGGCACACGATCAATGACTATACTGACAGCGTACTTAAGTGACAGTATTTTTTTTTATTAGAGCCATTTATATATGAAAGATTCAACAGGTTACGATTTTTGCAAATTTTTGTAGACGAACACATACCAGAATATTAATATTTATCGTGAATAAAATATGATCACGGAAAACTATATTGAAACAACAAAAAAAAAAAAAAAAAAAAAAACAGCATGAAAAATAAAGGTTTTTCATTTGTAAATGAGGAATTTTATTACCGGTGAAATATGACCAAGAACCGCTTTCCCTGCTAATGTTAAAACTGTGTTTTTTTCTGTTTTTTTCTCTCCAGATATTGCGCAGTGGTGCACCCACTGGATTATCTTAATATGATGACACCAATACGTGCCAAGTACATGGTTTCGATCATATGGATATGTCCAGGTATGTATACCTTAAGTAAAAACGCATTGCCCCCCCCCCCCGCGGCTAAAGGGATTTGGCAGGGATATGTAGCTCTAAATGTGTAGCCTAATATATAAATAATCGCATGAGCCCAAATAGACCATGAAGCACAAAGTGCTATGAGACTTATATTTGAAATCAAGTAATACTTGGATATGCTGTAGATCGATCTTGTGCCTTTAGGTAAGAACTTTGACACTCGCTTATGTCCTTAAAAAATAAAACACGAGAAACGATAAATTATAATAGATTATTTGTCATATTGGTTCAATACACAAGCGCATTCATCAATAAATATAATTATTTTGCCTTTAGACCAGACTTTTTTTATTTCTTGTTTCTCGAGTTTTTATAAGGCATTTTTTTTTGAGGAGGACGAAAACAAATAAAATTAATTTGTTTCCATTAGATTTGTGTGATTCTCAAGGAAATGTATGTGAGATCATTGATCGGAGAGAAGAAATGCTTGATCAAATCGAAGCACTTTTTGTGCGCCATGTTTATCATTGGACGTCCTCGCGACATATACAACGCGTGCAAATATATTTTTTGTTTACAAGAATTTAAACTACGCGACGACCGACGCCTGATATTCAGCGCAAACGCTACACGCGTATGCTAGCATGGGAAACAACCTCCAATCTATTTGCGTGTTGATGACATTTATATTTGTCCATCTTATTCTAGGTATCTGTTCATTGATGCCACTTGTTGGGTTCGGAGAGTATCATTACCAGTCGCAGGAATTGGGATGTGGAGTGAACTGGAGTGGTAACCTTCCATTCTCACTCATTGTGTTCGTTGTAGCGTATGCTATCCCTTTGCTGGTAATGGTATACTGCTACTACCACATGGTCCGCGCAGCTCGCTCCCAGGCTCGTCGCATCGATGCAATGCCTCAGGTTGATGGCCAAAGAAGAAGGCCCGCACTCATTCGTTCTGAACGCACAAAGGCTGTGAAAATATTATGCCTAGTGATAGGTTTCTTTATACTCTGTTGGACGCCGTACTCATTGCTTCATTTGCTGCAGATTGTGATGGTACTTGACAAAAACACAATACGAAAATATATGGTGTTGTCAAAGTACCTGATATACGCCAATTCCGTCGTTGATCCGTACATCTATACTCTACTCTACAGGCCGTTTAGACGGGGACTGAGGAATCTTCTTCGACAGAAGTGTTGCTTTGATAGCCTGCGACCAAAGCCATCATCGGCAGTCATCGTGTCCAGTCGCTTCTTGCGCAGGAAAGAGGGTTGTCTGCGGCGCATTGAAGCATCAGAAACTGACTTTAACTATGAGCTCTCATCTTCAGATGACGGATATGGCGACCCAATATGCGATGAAGATTACGATGACGGGCAGGATAGTGACCCACTGTACCTGCTTTATGACGATGACAATGACTGTCAACAGGTGTTTCCCAATTCACACTTGACTCCTCAGACATTACTACATGAAGCCATCAACAAGTGCCAAATCGAGACACTTTCCCTCAATAGTTCAATCGGCGATATAAGTCCCAAGCACTCCCCTCAACAGCGTCGTCAAAGAAAAGACTCAAGGGTAAGCAGAACATTTAGTACAAGTTCTTTATTAAAAAAGAAAGTGATACTGTCTTCACTGCAAGAAACTTTACCTGGAGAAGTTGCAGATCTTGACCAATGTGGTTACGTAATCAGTGAGACAAGGAGGAAGCCGAAAAGGCGAACTCTACATCATCTTCTAGTTGACAATTATCGCGAACCACAGAGAGGTAGACGAGGAAGAGCCAGCTTACAACATGAACCAAACTATATGTTAAGTTCGTCTCCAAAACGAAAAAGAGTATTGAAGGCCATTCCTGTAGTCATTGACAGTGGAGATGCCCGCTACTCACGGCATCACTATTCTCACCCTACGGTCTGCTCTAATTTAGAAGTGAAAACGCCTCGGCCACCATCTTCGAAGATATCTGGCAGAGGTGAGTGTGCTGGCCGTCCAGCGTTGCTTAGACGGAGCAGTCTAACATCCACCCTGAGCTACAACCTAGAAATAAGCGACGTCATTCAGATGGATATAACACCGCCAAGAGCACGAAAGTATAACACAGAAGATTTGTCTCAGAGAAAAATCAGTACAATGCGAAGAGGTATAGTTAGCCGTTTATCGGAGGAAACAGAGGTTGATTCTGACGAGGCAAAGCACGCTGTACCATTAGGCTTAGGCGATGATGAACACGATAGCGTTTTGAAGGCCGGAATAAAGTTGACACCAGAACGATTAAGAAAATCATCGAACCAGAACGTGGACAGCGAAGAACAGTTTAACCGCTTTCGACTCCTACCTTCAGCAGAGGAAATGATAATTTCAGATGACGAACATGGCAAGAGGAGGACGTCAACTTCTCAAAGACTTATCGGCCGACCATGCCTTACAAGGAAGGAGAGTTTGATCAAACTCAATAGTCGACGATTAGAGCGTAGAAGCTCTCGCCAACGAGTCAGCTTTTCAGATCAGCCGTTCATGACTTCTCCGGCGATGCCTGGGAACAGGCGCCGTGTGGAAAGTGATAGAAGAAGCAGTGGGAGCGAAAGCGACTGTGAGAGAAGGAGGGAAAGCATAAGACCAACAATGATCCCTCCCCATGAGCGACGTCGTAGAAAGTCTGTTTTCAAATCCCCGATTACGTCTTTCGAACAAAAGTAAAATAGTTGCATGTTATGGAGCGTTCACCTACAACAATTCTACTTTGCGTGTGCATGTATTCTTTTATTCAGGGGTAGACTATTAGAAAATTTGGAGGCGATGGCAAAATTGAAAAAAAAACAGCGCAGAAAAACAATAATAGGAAAAAAACACCTTGTTGGGATGTATAACATCAAGTAAAAATCTGCACGTCTATTTGTTGGAGAAACAAATATTACAAACAGGGTAAATAAAGAAATTACAGCGAATTCATTATTGAAAATATAGAACAAAACTAAATGAAAGTTTATCATCGCCCCAGAGCTTCTAATGGTTCCCTTATCGAGTGTTAATTTGAAATCGATTGCTGTTTGTGACATATATTTGCCTTCTTCTCCTGGTTATACAATCCATATGTTCCCTGCATTAGTGCACACTCAATATAACTGATCACGCAATAAAAACATTATTTGTAAAATTTGTGTTATCATGTCGGGAACAAGTGAGGCAATCTTTGTTCATACAGCAGAGACTTATTTTAACATGATTTGGAGGCAAAATCATATCCATAATAAACATGCAAATGTTATGTCCCTCTATCTTTATAGACAAAGCAATATACACTAGGGGAATCAATAGAAAACAATACGGAAACTCGTGTTACATACTCGAATATGTATATGAATTCTAAAATAATTTATTCAGAATGTTTTTCAGATATAATGAATTTTACTTAATTAAACATGAATATATTAAATAGGACATGTAAATAATATACGTGTTTTTTTAAATATTTTAATTAGAAATGTTATTAATGTTATTATTTATTTGCTGGAAATTTGTTTAAATTTTAAAAGTGGCAAAAATCCACAATAAAATGTATGAACAAATAATTCAAATAAATAATATTAAAACTAATACATGATGCGCGATACATTATGTTTTGATCAGACTGTGTATAAGGGTGTGATGAATGCTATATACAATATATATTTTTAAAAAGGTATATTATAAAAACATTTTTGTAATAAACACATACATCATACATTTTTAAAAGAAAGATGGCGATTTCGAAATATTGCTATATTATATAAATGTTTGTACAGTAAAAAAAAAAAAGAATATACAATTACGATGAAGCAAAGATTGCACTAGTTTTGATGAAATTTTATGTCCAACCCAACAAACGCGTTCTGAATGATTTATCCTCGTCCCCGGACGCCAACATGATAACAAAATGCGTCCATATTTAGTGTAAGCATGAGATATTAAAAATGTATTGGGTGTATCAAACTAATGTGTCAATTAGTTCTTTTCTATTTAAAGACCCGATTTCAAAATAATGTCATTATGTTCATGTTTATTTATAAGACCTGATTTCAAAATAATGTCATTATGTGCATGTACATTTATAAGACCTGATTTCAAAAAATAGTCATTATGTTTATGTCTATTTATAACACCTGATTTCAAAATAATGTGTCACCATGTTTATGTACATTTATAAGACCTGATTTCGAGATATTATGTCATTATGTTCATTTGTAATTATAAGACTAATTTCAAATTAATGTGTCACTATGTTCATGTCTATTTATAAGGACAGATTTTCAAAATAAAGTCATTATGTTCAGTTATATTTATAAGACCTGATTTCAAATTAATGTGTCACTATGTTCATGTCTATTTATAAGAACTGATTTCAAAATAATGTCATTATATTCTTGTTTATTTATAAGAACTGATTTCAAAATAATGTCATTATGTTCATGTTTATTTATATTAAGACCTGATTTCAAAATAATGTCATTATGTTCATGTCTATTTATAATAAGACCTGATTTCAAATTAATGTGATACTATGTTCATGTCTATTTATAAGACCTGATTTCAAAATAATGTCATTATGTTTATTTCTATTTATAAGACCTGATTTCAAAATAATGTCATTATGTTTATGTCTATTTATAAGATCCGATTTCAAAATAGTAACATGCCAAAAAACACTAGGACTACAAATACAAATATCGGCGTTGGTAATTTTTACACAGCAGTGTGAAATGTAATCCATGTCTATATTCTTTTGAAAGATTAAAAATTGATATAAATTATGAAGCAACATAATGCCGAATATTACTTAACATACATATCTGTATCCATGTCTGTTTTTTCTAATGGTACATTAGTGTTCACCATACAATAAGTTGCAAATCATATTATATATCATACACTGGTACTATTCTGTATGCAACCTTACTTCAAAATATCTTGCGCACAGACGAACATTGTTTTCCAAAAGAAAAACATGTTGGGTAACAGTTGCCATTGGCGGTATGGCGACGTTATAGTTGTTTCCGTTCCTTTTCTGACACAGTTTCAGAAATGAACCCGATTCCAAATCTTGATTGGTATCACGCTGAAGACAAGATGGCGAAATCTCAAAGCACGTCCATTTATACATAATTACTGAATCCAAATTGGCGTATTCAAAGTTGCCGTACGTGGTTCTTGCCAGCTGCCGATGCAGCCCAACCTATTGTGTTGGTTAGACTTCATTAAGTCTACCTACTATTTTATTCATTAAGACCAGTGTTATTTAACTTTGACCTATACATAAATGCGTTTATTGCCGACGTACTTCAAAGAATATTGAGTATATATGTTTAAGGCTGGCAGTCGTCGTGTCGCGTCCT